GGGGGGGGGGGGGGGGGCGTTGCTTTTGAATGAAGTGTCTTTAAGCCATTCCCAAAGCGGGGACAGTAACATGTTCTTATGCGCAGTAGAGTTGTAAATGGGCTGATTCAACAATGTCATGCTCATAACTGTGCCTGAACTGCAACAGGGAAATGCTGCTTTTTCTTTCCAAATCCTTACTTTCGTCATTTTCCCTCTACTTCTTATGTATATATGTCACTTGTGAACTGCTATTTCCGGGGTGCCTTGATAGTCGAAGCAAATTTTGTGCTGTTGAGGCTAGAGAGGTGAGCAGAGTAAGTCTGATTCCCTGTAAAGATTTTTCTGTTGACATCCACCCCTTGGTGCTCATAATAATATAACCTTATGCAGTTGCGAGTGCCGTAAAAACCTTACAACAACAAAGGAAAAACACAACACACTTTGCTTGAAAGATATATCTATTATCTATTTGTGGTGGCCGAATTTTGCTATTCAAAAGGCTTTTCAATGGCTGCATGCGGTTTTCGCCAAAAAAATTCTTTAAAATATTCTCCAGATCATGGCGCTCTTGGTTTTTTCAGTTTTGAGACAGTTTTGCTGCAAAAAGCTAATTTTCTTTATTTCGCCGATCACTTTTGAAGGCCGACGCTTCTGTCTCTGTCTCTGTAATTTTAAAAAATCCGGAAGTGATATTTCGCGCGGCGCATTTTGTTTTGAGAGTATAGATCTAGACTCTAGACCTAATTTTTTGCATCTCTCAAGATTTATTGCCCCATTCCAGTAGAGTGTAAATATAGTAGGCCAATGACCTTTAGCTTATATTAAAGCACCGATCATCCCTTTCATCGAAAGGGGGGCCAGCTTGTATATATATATATATATATATATATATATATATATATATATATATATATATATATATATATATATCTGTCCCCGTAGAATTATGCGAATTTAGATGGCCAAATTACGCCCAAAAAATGCAACATTATGCAAAAATTATGTAAGTTACCGTAACACCATTCGCAACATGTTTTGCACTTTTTCAACACGAATTTTTATGATTTTCATGTTTTATGTACAGAAAAATTGAAAACAAAACATATCAGTATCAGTAATTTGTTGTGTATTTGGAAGGAAAACAATACACATCAGTAAGAAAAAAACCCAACCAAAACATAATAATATAATCTCTGTAACTTTCGGCTGTAAATCTAAATTCTAGTTCTATCAATGATAGTAAATAACAAGATAGGCCACTCAGCCAAAAAAGTGTCCGCAGGAAGTATGCTCTTTGCTTCAGATGGCGCTGCAGTCTGTTTTGAAGCTCTCTTTCGTTTTTCCAGAAGAAGAATAGGAATAGCACCTCCTTGCGTGCGCAGATCGACTGCTGTTCATCAGCAGTTCGGGTTCGTTCAGTACGGAGTTTTAGTTTTTAAAAATTTTAATGACCTCTTGCCTTTCATTCTAAAGTCAAATTAAACGAAGAAAACAATCACCCTTTCCTCCGGAAGAGGTTTTTTTTGTCAGCGTAACCATAAAAAAAAGCGTTCTTCCGAAATTCATTCAAAAACTTGCTAGTTTCACTTTTATTTTTAAAAACTCAAGTAGGATAACTCTGTTCGCTAAAGGTGCGCTTTTGCGAAGAGGGCGCCACCGAATTTTGCGGACACTTTTTTAATTGGCTCAAAGAGAGAAGTGACCCATCTTGTCTTGTACTATCTTTGGTTCTATAGAGGAAAGAAAAATGTTAAAAAAAAAAAAAAAAAGGACATCTGGACCTCTGATGCTGGCACATTACTAAAACTGGGGACACCTGTCAAACATGAAACATCAGGAGACATGAGAACAACAACTTTTGTTGGATTGAAAACAAAAATACTAAGATCTTCTAACAAGGGAAATAACCAGCTTTTCACTTAAATGAGACTTATCATGGTGATTACTGCCCTTTAGACACATGGCGAGGCGTAATTAATTGTTCTATGAAAAAAGGACAAAAACGTGAAAAAACGCGGGGAATCCAAAATTATGCAAA